GAAGTATAATCATTATCAGGAGGATCCTCCTGCCTACTGCTGAATGAGCAGATAGAATCAGGCGTGCGCTCTCAATATGATTGCGTATACGGAACATTTGGCCATCCCCTCTAACTGACTCCTGGAGAGAAAATGTGTCTAAATGCAAACTTTGAATGCCAAGGGAGGACTAATTATCTTCATGTGATCAGCAATTACCATTTTAATCGGCACATCTTCTGAGAAAATTCAATTTTTCATAGTGGATAAAAGAAAAAGACGCATGATAGAATCTATTCAAATGGTCTTTTATTTGCCCGATTATATGGTTTGATTAATCATAAACCACTAAAAAAAAAGAGGATGTTTGCTGCTGGCATCAAAGGTCAAAGGGAAGAAGCTAGAGCCCCAGTATGACCCAGATGATGGTGCAGGAGGGCAGCCGGGAGCAGCTGCGCCTCTCTGTCAGAGCAGAGGAGCAGAGAGCCGCCTCTCCTTTGGCAAACCGAGGGGATGACTTGGAAGTGGCCTATTGAAAGTTTGGCGACCTCTCCGGGAGGAAGTGACAAGAAAAAGCAGTGGGTTCTGGTTAGAATGGCTCAGTTGTCCTCTTCAGTGGCGGATCAAGCCAACGCGTCACGGCTCCGGTTGTGGTTGTGGTTCTGATCCACTTTTACTGGATTTTGGAAGAGTTAAATGCTCATTTGAATATAAAATATAGATACATTTATATAGATCAACACCAAACTGGTAAAAATGATTTGTTTTTGTATATCCTAATCATTCAAATAATTGTCATTCACACAAAAGAAAAAGATAATGACAGAGGTTTATTCATATGTTACGTTCATTTTGAGACGTAACCTATTTCATGCATAATAACTTACATTGTGTGTCTATGTGTGTGAGTGTGTGTGTTTGTCAGCGTATTTTATATTATTATATTGTTTAATATATGACTACTTTGTGTTACATCAAATGTTTTTTTTTTCTTTGGATCATATTTCTTCGCCTTTGGCGTAAATATCCGAATCCTTTGAGTGGCCAGCAGCTCCATTCCAAACGTTAAAAAGTTAAATGAGCTTTTGGCATATCTGACGTTTTCCAAATCCGCGCCAGTTTACGAATTCATACGTCGTCCAAATTCAAACTTTTGAAGAACAGCTGACTTGACTTAGTGGAAAATCAGAAGATTTTTCTTTTTTTCTTATTTTTTTTGCCTGCCTTCATTTTCCAGCCATGCTCCCGATACCTCCTTGATACCCCCGATATAGTGTGTCCCTGCCCAGTCTTTATTATCCGTAGCAGGTGTTCGTTCAGCGTGTCACAGAATGAGCGGGGAGAAGATCTTCCAAAGTTAATATTGTCTGTTCAGGGATGATGGGGGAGTGAACTGTCTCTCGCTTTATTTACGCACGCTAAATTCATTAAGCCCAGGATTCCTCTGTCTGGTGCAAAAACACGGAGGCTCATGCGGGGCAGGGTGGAGCGTGGGGGAGGCTGCGTTGATTTATGGTGGCGGAGCACACGCACGTCCTCCGTCCTGCAGGCCGCGGAGGGCCGCTGGACGCTCGGTTATAGGGAGGATGTTCTGGTTTGCTCTAATTTCATAAAGAGAGACCTGAAGTGTGGCCGTATTTTGGGGGTTTTGTGTGGTGGTTTGGGAGGTTTTGCTGGAACGCTGAAAAGAAACGTTTTTAATATAAACAACTCAAAACACAAAACATAACTGCATGATTCAAAGCCGGTCATTTTTAAATCTGAATTTTGATATTTTCTTAGGTGGCTGAGTTGATTCATTAAGCTTTATATTATATTATATTATATTATATTATATTATATTATATTATATTATAACATGACACACAATTTACTTTTTGGACCATTTAGATAGCCCAGTTTCAAATCTAAAGAATCACATCCCCAGCCCAGCCCCTTCCTCACCTCACATGCACACACACGCATGCAAGGACACAACAACGCGTCACACACGAGCTCAGTGGTGCCGACATCACGCGCCGTGTCCTTGTGTCCTTTAAGGTACAACAGTGAGAGGTGCATCGATCAGCTCTTATTGACAAGGCAGTGAAATGTTGAAGCTAGACGATTTATTTTAATCCTTTGCTGTCATTCATGCATTTTTGAGGGTGTACTGAGCTGGGTATAAATACTACAACAACAACTACTATCATAATAATAATAATAATAATAATAATAATAATAATAATAATAATAATAATAATAATAATAATAATAATAATAATAATAAATAAAAAATATATACGCTTTTTCCGGAATTACTAAAAGAGCTAAAGTAAAAAATATTATAAATCTAAACCAATACTGGCGCCTGAAGCCTGTAAGGAAAAACGCAGATTAAACTTCCAAACGGAGCATATGGAAGCGTTTTGAAAAAGATTAGAATTACGCTGAAATTTATAAACGACTTTATGGCGACTGTTATGTCATTTGGCTGTCACTTCACATAACACTCGTGCCTGATTTCGTTTGAGAAAAACGTGTGGAAAGATGACTGATGTCTTTGTGGTGTCTACACAAGCGCACGTTCCGGTTCCGAGACGCGCAGAAAATGAGATGTCTATTAGACTTGTCAGTTTATAAGCGCGCAGTTGATTGCCTTTAATATATTTTTTTTAGATTTAAAGCAGATTTACGTCAAGTCTCAGCTCTGCTCAACAGGCTGAAACATTGAGGTGAGCACCCACCACCGTCAGAGCTTGTGCTCATTTGCGCACAAAACCCGCACGCTGGAAGGGGATTTCATTCTCAAATCGTCAACTTTCAGACTCCTCCGTGTGCTGCATGTGTGTGCCTCGTGATTTTTTACTGGCTTGGTTTATTTCCTGCAGTTCCTTAAATGTTTTAACCATTCCTGCAAAGGCTTGATGTGGATTTTAATGGTCTGATGCGGTGCGTAATGACACCCTGTTAAGACGGCCCGCCAGAAAAAGAAAAAAGAATACTTCAAAAAAACCTGCTAATGTTTTTCTGCATCATTTACTCTGTGAATTATACGTGGAGAATATCCATTAACAAGCGTGGATACAGCGGGTGAGACGCTAATCTGTGTTATTTCCAAAAGAAAATCTCATTTGTACTAACAAACAAGAGGCGAGGAGAAAGAAAATAAAGGCCTGGTGGATAAAAGAAAGTAGGCATGTGTTGGTGTTCGTTTCAAAAGACTTTCGGTGAGTTGTGCTGAGGGAAAAAACAGAGGAGTCAGCCGCTACCACCCCCCACTCCCCACCCACCGTCCCTCCCTCAACCTCCCCACTACCACCCTTCATCCTTAATAATCATCTGTCAAAACACCCACAAACTAATTTAACCATTTGCACACAGATCTTGTAAATAAAGGGGCCTTCTGTGGGGGAAACATGTGTTCTGACAACTCTGAAAAAGACCAATGGGGCTGTTTTTCTGGAGCCGGGCGGGTCCCACTGCTTTCTTTATGCGTGGCCTGTTCCGAGACAACACGGGACGACATGAAAGCGGAGTAAACCGAGGGCCTTTTGAGAAGATTGCTTTTCAGGATCCGAATGTGTGCGGTTGCTCTCGCAAGGGGGGACCGCTCGCTGTGCAAACATTCACTCCTTTAGGCCAGGGGTCCGGGCTGACAACATCAACAAACGCCCCAAAAAGCCGCATTATGCCGGATTAGGAGCTCGGTGAAAAATGCTGCTACAAATTAGCAAAGAAAGCCCCCAAAGACCGCGGGTATATCCTTGTTCACTTTCAATTACAGACCGCCGAGGCGCACTAACGTCCCCATTCATTTGGGGCCTGTATAGCAAATGGTTCTTTACAAACTAGCAGAAGCCACACAAGAGGAATACTTGCTCACTGTTGCGTGATATTTATCAGTGTTGTACACATCGAGTTGTGTTGGGGACATTTAAATGGGGATTTTTGTGCGTTTAAAGGAGTCTTAATTTAGAGAATTAAAGCGGCTGATCTAGTTTAATTGGTCAGCTCCAGATATGAATAGCCTGTATTTAGTAGATTAGTTAGGATTTGAGTAAAGGAAAGTGTAAAATCACACACCCGTACCGCAAATATTCCTTAAAATTTCGTTTTTAACTAGTGTTTAAAACCCAGCCCCTGCTCTGCTCTGACTCATTGGGAATTTTCTAAACGCAACAACAAAAAGTAACGATTTTTCTCTCTGTTTTTTTTTCAAATCCACAAACATTTATTATTCTCGTCATGACAACAAAAATATTCATGAACATTAAGGTGTTTATCTATTGGCAACACATGACATATTGTAGGCTATGTTTTACAGATTTAATTGTCAATAGGAGAAAACGAATAATCATATGATTGAGGGGGGGTGGGGGGGTATTACGCCATGTAATACCAAAAATCACACAACCTACGTGTCAACAGACAGATATTGGGAAAAATTCACCTTATTTGGGAGGTTGTGGTGGAATGAAAGTGGAAGATGGTTAGTCGTTTTTTTTTCTTCTTTTCTAAATCTCAAAACCCCTCCCCTCGTCTCCTTGTGCTTTCTAAATAAAAACCTGAGTTTGCCGTCTCTCCTCAGCCACATGTCAACAAAAACGGTGACACTTCCTCGCGGTGCGCAAAGTAAACACAACACGAATAAAAAAAAAATTCTCAATTATATTTAGAAGTTATCCTCATGGTCACGGGTGACAAATTTAACTTAGGCTATGTTAAAAATATCAGAGTTCCCATCGTTTCTCACCACTTGCAAATGAAGCAGAGCATTTGTTTTTAAGAGTGAGTCTCTTCTGCTTCTGCTTCTGTCTGTCACTATAATACACATATTTACAACCCATAAATAAGATTATATCTCCTCATCCACTGCTAAAAAAAAACAAAAAAACGGAGAGCCAAACAGTCTCCTATCACCATGAACGTTCACCCTACCTTCACACAGGACGACGTCACAATATTATTTTCTCAGTTTATGTTTTTTTTTCCTCCCCTTTTTCTGTCATCTTTTGTGTTTTAGTCTGTTTTTTTTTTTTTTAGAAAGGACAAGCGTTCACGTTCGGAATTTTGGCTGGGAAAATCTGACCCTGCGTCCCGTCCTGTGATAAGTTCAAGTGGCTGGAAGCGGTGGCCAGGGCCGGGGTCAGCATGGCCAGGATCTGGGACTGACCGCCCGTCTGCGCGCCGTAGGGGAAGGAGGGGGGGTTGCCCCCCCCGATGATGTTGTCGATGGAGAACGAGGGTCGATTCGGGGTGCTGGAGTCCGTTTTGAGGGACGGCAGGGACGGGCTCAGTTGGGGGTAAAAGGGCTTCCGTAAGTCGGCCCCTAATAGGGAGGGCAGGTGATGCGGTGTGGGGAAAATGGAGGCCGAGGACGGCAAGGTGCACGGGGAATTCGGGAACGGGAACGAGCCGCCCGCGTGGTGCGCGTGGTACGGGCCGTGCGCCGCGTGGAAGCTCTGGAGCTGGAGTCCGTAGTTGTATCCGTATGGGCCGTATCCAAACCCGGGGAGGAACCCCCCGGCGTCCCGGAGGATCTCGTTGCTCTGGTGCCTCTTGAAGCGCTTCCTCCTGCGCAAAAAGCTCCCGTTGTCGAACATGTCCGCGGAGTCCGGGTCCAGGGTCCAGTAGTTGCCCTTCCCGGGGTTGCCCGGTTCCCTCGGGATCTTCACGAAGCAGTCGTTCAGGGACAGGTTGTGGCGGATGGAGTTCTGCCACGCGGGGAATTTCTCCCGGTAGTAGGGGAATCTGCTGCTGATGAACTCGCAGATCTCGCTGAGCGTCAGGCGTTTTTTGGGGCTCTGGAGGATGGCCATGGTGATCAGGGCGATGTAGGAGTAAGGCGGTTTGACCAGTGCGCTCTTTCGGGGTTTGTCCCCGGTCGCGTTCCCGGCCTCCGTGCCGGACCCCAATTGGTCCAACGGGCACTCCGAGCTGCTGAGCCCGGGGGACGAGACCCTCTCGGCCGCGCTGTGCGCGTAATTATCGTCCGAGTCATTGTCCAAGTTGAACTCGTGGTGAATGTACTTTTTCCCGTTCTTTCCGTCGGACAAATCGCCGCCGACCACGTCGATGTCCACGTCCTCGGACAACGCGGAGCTGTCGGACATGTCCGTCCCTAAAGTCATCCTCGGAAGGCACGGCTTCTCTTTGCCCCCCTTTTCTCTCGCGCTCCTGCTTTCTGTCGCCTTGGACCAGAGCGCGCGCGCTGCCTCCCTGTCCCCCCCCACCACCACCACCACCACCCCCGGTGAAACCACACCAGACTTTCTGTGGCAGATTTATCTCCAGGAACTGATCGAACACATGAGTAGGGATCTATTTAAAAAAGAAAAAGAGAAAAAAGACGAGAAACTCTTTGACCTGTGACGCAGGAGATCGGACGTCCAAGTTTCTCACAGAGAAAACTTCTGATTGTCTACCATAAACGGGCAGTCAAAGATCAAGCCGGTGTTTTTTTTTTTGCACCGACAGGATCTCGTGGTCTCCTCAGACGTCGGTCATCCCTTTTACGCGGCCGGTTTGTTTTAAAAAAAACGTTACTTTTGGATATCCAAATCGCTCCCCCAAAAATATAGCTTCTGCGCATGGGATTGAGTGGGTATCCAGCCACAGGGTCACACTATCCTCCTTTGCTCTCAAAAGGGATTTATAGGACCAGGCTGGTCACGTGGTCTCCGAGTCACCCTTACCAGGAACTGAATGAATTTCCCCTGCAAAAAAAGTAATGATTTCATTCACAGGGCTTAATTGGGAGCAACCTTTTTACCCTTTTTTTTCGTTAAAACAAGCCAAACAACACCAAGACACCAGTCTATCGTAGTAATTTATCCAGTAAATTTGCTTGGACGCTTATATTTTCTTATTTTTCTTCATTATACTTAATATCTTGGCGGGTTAGTGCCAGAAAAAGTCAAGAAAGAATAAATAAATTGCGTTTTGGTCTGACCATTGTTGATTTTTATACAGACTAAATGTTTTTTTTGTTTTTTGTTTTTTTTTTGCTTTCTTATTCAGCGTCAGATTATTAAGAGCGTTCAAGCACAAGCAAACAACACAAAATTTTTTTTTATCCGTGAAGGCCTAATTAATGTTAAATTTATTTTAGGAACTATAGACAAGACGTCTTCTTGGTTCTCTTAGAAGTCCAGTTCCTTTTTTCTCATAATGGAATACTGTGATCAGGATGACGTTCAAATTACTCTTAATAATGATCAAATAATAGTAATTAGATCTGATAGTGACAGTTATAGCAAACTCTCTCAGTTCCAAATGAACTGCGTGATATCATTTGCCAAGATTATATAAAAAGTGTTCCTTTGCTAATTTTCACGTCATCTCCAAGCAGAGCTTTACATGATGACCCCTATTTTCTGCCTAATTTGGATAATGGAATAATTGTCCCTTAGAGGTTTTTTAACCAACTCTGGGACAAATCTTTGAAATCTTCTGGCGAATTTTGCTCATTCGTCGCTCCAGTAAAGACCCGATCCTATTTTTTGGGTTGTTTTTTGTTTTTTTGTCAGGCTTCATGCGGGAGTGTGCAACCTGCTCCCATCCGTCCGCATCAGGACTGAAAGGGAGGCGGAAAACAGTGAATGCAAACGTCCATGTTTGGTCCATTTCGTTCCGCTTTTTTTTTCCCAATCTAGATCTAATCATCCATCCCAGTAAGGGGAGAAACAACAGATGGGATTTTTTAAAAATCATTAGGTCATATTTTGGCTCTAATTTCATTTTGTATTTATAATTTACATAATTTGTTGTTTATTCTATTGATAACGGAAAAAATAGAAAGAGCTTTAATGCGTAAAAACTGGACTTGGAGACATGTGTTGCTTAATCCGTGTTTTATTTTTTATTTTTATTCACAGATTTGCATTTAATTTAGTCGTGTATTAGTTTAGTTGTGTATTTCTGTCACAGACCATGATACAAAGAAATGACTGACTAAATATGAAAAGACAAAAACGTGACATTTTGTTGAATAGATTTATTTCTAGTTTATTTGTTCTGCTTATTTCTTCAAATTAATCTGAGATTTGGAACAATTTAGGCTCCCCACATGTCCAAAGGTTTTCTCTGAGTGTGGTCATCCATGGTGGGACTCTCCTCTGGAGTTTGTGTGTTATGTTGAAGCGCCTCCTGCTGTTTAAACTGAACGTTGAGAGAGAAGTGTGTGTGTGTGTGTGTGTGGGGGGGGGGGGGGGGGTCATTCTGCGACAGGGGAAAGTCAGACGGTGTCATTTTAGAAGTTATGTTTGAAACACAGAACACAGAAACTGGTTTAAATGGATGTATCCTGATCTAAAAGGTTGGTATCAATCCGGAATCCGACAGAAATTCAGAATTTGGCATCAACATTAAATTAATTTTCTTGTTTTGCGCATGTTAGGTCATTGTCTGACCATTTTTGTGTAACTGCCCATTGGAACTGCCGCTCATAGGAATGTTTTACAAACAGTTACATCCGAAGAAAATTAAGTCTTAAGTATAAGAATCTGGCAATTGCAAAAGTTTAGACATTAACTTTTAAACCTTGTCATTGCCATTAAAGCTGCTTTGCGATGATGGATATGGAGATGATGCTTCCAGAGAGATCTCCAGAAAAAAGTTGCACAAGAGGCGATATTTGTGTCCAATCACATTTTCAGTGGAATTTTTTTTTTAAAGTCTATTTGAATTTTTTTTTTTTGTCAATTAAAATAAGGTTAACAATTCTTTTTTTGATCATCTCACCAAGTCTGGATTTTTAAAATCCGATTATGGGATTTTAAGGGTTAGGGTTAGCATACAAGGCTCTTCCATCAGCCCCCCCCACCCCAGA